AGTTCTAGAAACGTTGCGTCATAGTAGTCACGTGACTCGCTGACGCAACAATATATATGGCAGAACTGCCTTATCGGAAATACATTTTCCGTATAGGAAAACGATAACGTTTAGTATCAGCAAATTTTAATTTACGTTGTATTGCAACGAGAAGAGAATAAATCAGTTCTTCATTAAATGGAACGATAATAAAGTCAGAATACGCTACAAACGACACTTAACCTTACAACAGAAATCAGGATACCAAAAGGTAGGGAATTTTGTTTTGGAAACATGAAATGTCATGCAAACCATATGCAAGAAGCAGGAGCAATGTACCCGGTTTTGCTTTGATTAAAATAGCTTTAGTTAGGTAAAGAAATCACTTTGATTTTTTTTTGGCAAAATAAAATCACAATTAATATGGGTAGTTTAATCAAAACAACTCGGGATACTTAAAATCATTTTCATCCAAGAAACACCGGGTACCCCGCTAGTGTAAAATAAATCAACTTACTTGTACAAAGTAAGTGTAGTAGCTAACATACTGACTGGTTCACTCTCTATATTGGAATAATCCTACCTACTATATAATTGACTATCTTTCAGCTCATTTTCTAAATGATTTCTTGATGCTTCACAGAATATTGTATTTATATTTACACTTGTTCTAGATATTTCTAGGATTTTGGTTTGAACGTCATGTGTTCACTAACTAACATCTAAATTAAACAAATTATAACATTAAAAATTAGCTTAATAAACTGTTTTTCAAAAGAGCCGCCCTAATTGCTTCCTGAATTGGGTGAACTTACTTATGGGAAAGAGTTCTGTAAAGTAGAGCATACTGAGTAGAAATAAGTGATCTTTTCCAGTGGCAAGTCAGATGATACCTCAAGGACATAACGTTCCTTATTTTGTAGTGAGAGTGAATGTAAGTCACTTAGGTTGTGCCTGTATTCTGACAAAAATAGCATTTTTTTGTGTATAATGTCAAGTTTTCTCAATCTATAACCTGATTGATTTGATTTTTATTGTCTGAAAGCTCTCCATTAAATTGCATAAACGATACACTTATTTCTAAACTTTAAATATCGTTTTTTAGTACTAATAATTTCATTGTGTTTAACTCGTGTCCAGTCTCTTTCTTTTGATTGAAATCGGTCGAAATAGGAGAATTGTGACTTTTTGCGCCATAATACTTTCTGTTGTGTCTCTTGTTATTTTGCAGATCTATCCAATTACTCAAAGAAATCATTGCATCTGAGAATACCATACGTTTTAAACAGTTTCGATAGCTGTCCAGTAGGTGGCGAAAGATTAAATAGGCCATAGTAACTGTTTTAGGTATAAGTTAAAATAAACGTTGTCTTGAAGAATACAGAGAATTTAGTGTAAGATCCACATTATTCTGTATACTATTACTATAGATGTCAACATGACACAGAAAATGATTGAATTGCTAAATAACTGAACTTAAGACATTATGTTTGATATTGGATATCACGCTCTATATTATTGCGTTTAATTTAAAATTTACAATCTAACAACAAAGCTATTAGTGTTAATTAAAGAAGCAAATTTAATTTAAAAATTAAACAATTATCATGATGTAAATCTGAAGACTAAACATTACTTAATTATAAGTTTTCCTAATTTTATCAAATAAAATTTTACTTTCAGTGTTAGGTAATACAAATAGTAATAATGGAAGATGGCGTCATAAGTTAACAACTTTTAAGTACGTGTCTGCCACAACATTGTTGAATATTTGTTAAAATACAAGAGATATACACTGTACAGTAGTTCTCGAAATTATTCTTCACTCAATAATAATATACTTGCAATTCTATAATGTCTAAATGTTTCAGACTCAAACTAAAAAGTAAAAGAAAATTCCTACATGAGTGCTATATTATGTAAAAATATATTTGATAAAATGAATTCAAAAGACTAGTGTAAAAAATGTGTATTAAAGATTATAAGCAATTTTATATGCACTAAACTACTTTATACACATACAACAGTCAACTTAAAATGTTAAATGTAGGTGCTGACAAACAACAGCTTCGATTTATAAATTTTGATGTTGCTTAAAAAAGTGTGCACTCATCATTGATAAGGGCATCTAAAACTCATTTTTGGTTTATCAGTACATATCCACAAATTTTAACTGTTGTCATAATCTAGAACAAGTTGTATATTAATAATGAAATCTTTTTGAAAGAAAAACTGATTATGGCTTCTTTTTAAGATACAAAAGAATAGTTTTATATTAATATCTATAATTAAAACCAAATGTTTTCGTTCAATGCTGCTAATTTTCAGTTTTTTGTTTTACAAGTAAATTTGTGGTATAGCGTTTATTATTTTTATCATTTGGTTACTGATTATTTCATGGGAAACTTGCATGTAATTACAAAGTGTAAACAATTTTGACAGTGTTAAATCTTATTCTGTATTTGTGAAAGACATGCTATACATCTTATGTAGATGTTTAGTTAGATATTTGTTAATGCAGTAGAAAGTTGTGAATAAACAATTAAGGATTTTAAATTATAATACTAAAATATTAATGAATAAATGAATATGTAATTGATACTTGAAACTGTTAGTAAATGATGCCTTTAGTGGTGAAACCATGGTCGTTAATAAATGAAGTTTTTGTGAAATGTACAATTGTCTTTTTTCTTTTCCTGAATTATGTAAATTAAGATGTTGTGCAAAAAACATAATCTATATAGTGATAAAGGCAACTAGTTTGGCTATCATTTTCACCTTTGCTCTCCAAACTTTGAATATTAAGCATTTTCCCAAGTAAGTGTAATAAGGATAAATTGATATGGTTTTTCAACATATATAAACTATTATATAGACATACAGTTCTGTATAAGAGAGAAATTTTATCAAAGGACAAGTAGGAGCTGAGGTTTCAAAACCTTATACTGATATTTATTGCTTTTGATATTCTTAAACATTATGAGCACAAGAATAAAAAAGATGTTGTATAACATATACAATTCTCTAACAGTTTTAAATAGCTGATGTATTCTTTAGCACAGGTGAGAACTGTAGAAATCTATCTTTACACCTTAGGTGTGACTGTGGTAGTTCGGCACATCCATTCTAAAATATTCTTGGTAAACAATTGAACTATAAAAACTCTGTCCTGAAGCATTGCTGAATGATTTTTAATACATTCCAGTTTCAAACTGATCTTATAATTGATTTATAAAATTAGATTTCAATATTTTACTAATGAGAGTAGAAAAACTGAAATGTTATACTGGTAAGTTATTGCTCTTTCCTCAGACTTTTTTTTTTCCTTTATAGATAGGAACTACTATTTAGCAATCTTTCTGTCATAAGGAACTTGCAAACTGCCCAATAACTTAAAAATAACACTGAAAAATAGTTTTATTTTTCTAAAAGTGTGTAAGGTTATGAAATGAGTTGCCACTGGTAATAGGCCAAGCAACACCTTATGGGAGGCTTAAAAGAGGAATTGATGAATTCTTTAAACATAAGGGGGGGGGGAATAAAAAAAACATTTTTCTTTAAGGGTGGGTGTACAAGGACAGTTTTGAAAAATGAAAGAATATCTTGGCTGTATTATATTGAAAATTCAAGATATGTAGGTATGTTCTATTTGACTGTATATAATTAAAAGAGTAATGTGTCAGAAGCTTTTCAAATTTCATTAAATTATGCAAAAATGAAATTAGAAGTAGGGAAGTATGGACAACATACACATAGGGGAGGGGTGGGTGTAGATAGTACTATGCATTGTAAAGGGAAAGGTATTTGGAGAATGAAACTTATCCCTCAGAGCACCATCTCAGACAGCAGTGTTTATGTGTTATAGTTTTGTGTATGAATGTCTTCATTTTTTTTAAAAACCTAGAGTACTAATACCATCACTTTGTTGAGTTTAATACTTGACCCCAATATCTAGATTTTGAAAGTGTCACTAGATGTGTCAATTTGTGGTTTGTCATTTCTGATCAGACCATTTGGCTCAGAGTCTTTTGTACTAGAGGTGTTTGGAGGGTATCATATTTATGTTTCCTTATCTTTGTAATCAATTTAACTGTCAAACATCATGATTAATCATTGAGGAACACTGTAGATTTAGCAGATCCTCAATGTAAATTGCAACCTTAAACATGTAATTTCACATGCCACTGAAAACCATTCAACAATACATGATAGTAGGCAGAGCAACATAATGGTTTAGTTTTTCATAATAAGACCAGTGACTTGCATTAACGATGTTGAGACATTACACCAGTTTATTAATGCTAAAAAAAAAGGAGCATAATTTTTTTTAACTTGTTAAAACATGAATATGCTTCTCAGTCATTATAATGCACTTTGACAAAAAGGTATTAGTTTGTGGAGAGTCAAAACATCTACTAAATTATATGGTTATTTTGTAATGAATATTTTTGTGCAAAGTTTATGACTCATCTGTATTAATAACATAATAAATCACTATTATCATGTATGTTTTTTTTATTTAAATAAAATTCACACAGATGCGTTTTGCAAATTTTAAGGTATTTTTACAAATAAAAAAAAAGAGTAATTACCTATATGCAAATTGAAAATTTTGTTGTACAATAAAAATTTCATATACAAGTAGTATACTCACCTCCTACTCAACTTCCATATGCGATTATATATATATATATATATTACTTTAAATGCTATTTTTTATCATTCC